GTTTGCAAAAGTGTGTATTGAGGTGGAGACGGGGGCTTGGTTAATATTCAGATGTGAGATGGTTCTACTGGGGTAGTTAAAGTTTTCATTCCTGTTGCTCCAAGTGTAAAACCTTTGGTCATTCAGATAAGACATGTGCTGAGGGTGAGGGGGAAACAGGGGTGGAGAGCTAAGAAAGACAAAAATCCTATTGGGGATGGGCAAGGGGCTTTGGTGACTCATGAGATAGATGCTCAGGTGGTTGTGATTCCTATTGAGCAAGGTGATATGGTTCCTGTTGTGCAGGTGGTGAATGACTGTGATAGAAATCTAGTGGTTGTGGATAAATGTTATATTCTAGTTTCTATAATTGAGGATAAAGAGAAATATGGGGTGGTTGTTGAAGAGTATTCTATGTTGGGTACTTCTTCCCATAAGAAGAATAGTAGAGGAATGAAGGTGGAAAAGGCTAAGGCTACTTTTGTAGGCTCTTCAAACAAATTTGAGATTTTAAGGACTGTTTGGGAAGAGGGTGATGGTTTGAGAAAACCTCGACTGACTTCTCAAGGTGTTGTTAATATGTTACAGGTGATGAAAGTAAAGAATAATGATCAAATAAAGAAAGTCAAAAAAAGAGGTGATGATGATTGTATAGTTAGAGGTATTATTTCTTCTTTTTCCTTATGATTGTTTTTTTTTAATATTAGGAGATTTAATCACCCCAAAAAATGGCTAAGGTGCTAAGTATGGTTGAAAAACTGCATGTTGAAATCTTGTGTTTGATTGAGACTAGGGTTAGAGAACAAAAGGCTAATGATGTTATTGCTAAATTTATTGTTGATTGGAATTACTGTTGGAACTATGATCATGTGGGGAATGGGAGGATTTGGGTGATATGGAGGAAAGGGATACAACTCTCTATCTTGCATGTTTTTTATCAGTCTATTTCCCTTCATGGTAGTTTAGAGGGTAAACTTGTTGTAATTAATGTGGTTTATGGAAGTAATGATAGAACTAGTAGGAAGCTATTATGGCAACAATTGCATTTGGTTGAATCTTTGGTGGGAATTTCTGCTTGGATAGTTGGAGGGGACTTTAATGTTACTGCTAACATTAGTGAAAGTTCACAATTTGAAGGGGCAGTAGCCAGGTTACTTCTGATATGGAAGACTTGCAAAACTGTATGAGGGAGCTTGGGTTGGAGGATCACCCTTATTTTGGACCTATTTTTACTTGGTCAAATAAGTATGAGATTGGTTTTTTAGCAAGGAAACTTGACAGAGTTCTTGGTAATGATGTTTGGTGTGATATTTTTTTCCTGATTCTCATGTAGGTTTCAAGCACCAGGTGTGTCTGGTCATTGTTTAGTTGCTGCTTGGTACACTTAGGAGAGTTTAACCTCCAAACCAAAGCCTTTTATGTTTTTTTAATTTCTGGATTTTGCATCCTCAATTTAGAGAGTTGGTGAAAAATTCTTGGGATGAGCCATTACAGGGTGATCCTATGCAGGTTCTTTTTTTGCAAGTTAAAGAGGTTAAAACCTGTGTTGAGATCTCTTAATAGGGATTATTTTTCTGATATCTCTCAAAAAGTTGTTGCTAAGAGGGTGTAACTTGAGGAGTAACAGATTTTGAATCTGTCCAATATTGGGTAGATTAATTTGGAAGCTAAGAAAGTGTTGGAAATGAAGCTGGTTGAGCTGGAGAAAGTTGAAAGTTTGTTTTATCAACAGAAGGCCAAAGTTAGTTGGATTCAAGAGGGGGATCAATGCACTAAATATTTCTATTCTCAAGTTGCAATTAAAAAGAAAATGAACACCATTAGAGTGTTGTAGGAGGGGAAAAGCCGGAGTCTATTGATGATATATCCTCTAATATGGTGAGGTTCTTCACTAAGCATATTGGGGTTGTTAATGAGATTGTTTAGGGCTGTGATGCTGGAGTTTTGAAAAACTTGATTAGCCATTCTTTGCTTACTGTGGCTGTTAATGACTTGACTATGGAGGTTACAAGAGAGGAGATCAAGACTATTTTTTCAGTCAGGGGAAGGTCAAAGCCCCTAGGCTTGATGGTTTCACAACTGATTTTTTTTAAAGTTGTTTGGAGCATTCTGGGGAGGATGTTACTGCAGTTGTTAAGTATTTATTTTACTTCTTCCATTTTGTATCCAGCTTTTAATTCTACTACTATAACCCTTGTTCCAAAGGTACCTAATCCCAATATGGCTAAGGATTATAGGCCAATTTCATGTTGCTTTGTGATCTACAAGGCCATTACAAAGATTTTTGGTTACAAAATTGGCTCACCTTTTCTCTGGAATGGTTTCTAGGAACAAATCTTCTTTTGATAAGGGTAGAAACATAGTGGACAACACTCTCCTTGCCCAAGAACTGGTTAGAGGATATGGTAGGAAAGCTCTCTCCCTTATATGTGTTATTAAGGCTGACTTGCAGATGACTTTTGACTCATTGAGCTTGGAATTTATTCTTTGAGTCTTGGATAGTTTGGGGTTGCCTGCTCAGGTGAAGAAGTGGATTGAGGTCCGTATTATTGGTTCTAGGTATTTCATATCCTTTAATGAGAGTTTGGTTGGATATTTTAGGGGTAGAATGGGCATTGGTAGGGGGATCCATTATCCCCTTACCTATTTGTACTGTCAATGAATGTGTTATCTAGGCTTTTAGATGAGGGTACTGCAAAGAAGATTTTCTCTTATCACCCTAAGTGTAAACAGTTAGGGCTAACTAATATGTGCTTCCCAGATGATTTATTGATTTTTTGCAGAGGTAACATGGACTCCATTTTGGGAATTAAATGTGTGTTGGATAAATTCTATGAACTTTCAAGTTTGAGGTTGAATGCGTTAAAGTCAAAGTTATTTTCTTCTGGTTTGACTGAGGGGCAATTAGCTTTTGTGTATGAGGTAACTGGTTTCAAGCTTGATGCATTATCTGTAAGGTATTTTAGGGTCTCATTAGTCCCTAAAAAGTTGATTGAGAGGGATTATACTTGTTTGGTAGAAAAAATTAAGGCTAGAATTGGGTAATGGTGTCCAACAGATGGCTTAGTTATGATGGAAGGGCTCAATTGATTGGTGGTGTGTTCTTTAGCATATCTAATTACTGGTTCAGCCAGTTGGGGATGCTTTCTGCTGTCATCAGGCGTGTGGATCAGCTTTGTGCTTTATTTTTTAGGAAGGGTGATGACACTCCTGCTAAGGGTGTTAAGGTGAAGTGGGATTGTATTTGTGCTCCTAAGTCTGAGGGGATTAGGAGTTAAAAGCTTAAAGAGTTGGAACAAAGCTTGTGTTCTTATGTTGATGAACAATATACTAGCTAATGATGGTTCTTTATGGGTGGCATGGATTAATGCTTATGTTTTCAAGGGCCAGGATTTCTAGCAGGTAGTTTATAAACCTCATTTCAGTTAGATCTTGAGAAAGGTGTTGGGTTGAGGACTGAGGCTTGGCCTTTATTTGTTGGGAGTGTTGACTGTGGAAGGATAACAATGAGATAGTTGTGGGGTGAGATGAGGGAAAAGAATGACAATGTGGAGTGGAAGAAGTTAATGTGGTTCTCTATGAACATTCCCAAGCACTCTACTATTGCTTAGATGGCAGCACTTAACAAGCTGCCTACTACTGATCGACTCATAAGAATAGGAATCAATGTGGATGAAGGTTGTACGATTTGCAATGGAGATAGGAATGATGCTCACGATCATATTTTCTTTGAGTGTGTTTTCTCTATAAAGGTTTGGGAGGATGTTTTGAGGTTATGCAAAATCTACAGGTTTGTAGGCAGCTTAAGTGGAGAGCTTGCTTGGGCTACCTCTAGGCTCAAAGGCAGATCGCTCTTGGTATACATCCTTCGTGTGGTTTGGTGTGCCCATATACATTATGTATAGGAAGAGAGGAACTGGAGGTAATTTAGAGGTGTTAGGGGGAGAGTAGATGAGATTGTGATAATGTGAACCAGACACTTTGCCTTACTTGGGGAATTTAAGTTTTTTCGGTTGTCTGGGTTGTAACTTTGTTGTTTTTTATAGCAGTTTTTGACTGCTTCCTGGATAATAAGAGAATTTAACTTATCCAAAAAAAATGATTTACTGACTATAAGATATTTTGATGAGTTTTATAACTATTAAAAGTTATTACATGGTCTCATGACTATAGAAAATTGTTTTGTTGAGACTCTCGACTATTAAAAGTTACAAAATAATCATCTAACTATTCATTATGTTCCAAGCTCTTCCTTTTCTGCTAAAAAAATAACGGTAGTCTGAGTTGGACATTAATCTACTAACTGAGATATGGTAAAATATGAGTTTGGAACATAAAGATTAGTTGGTTGATCATTTTGTAATCTTTAATAACAATTTTCTATAGTTAATGAATCATTTTATAACTTTTAATAATAAGTAGATTCAACAAAACAATATTTTATAATAGGAAGATTATTTATGCACTTTCCCCAATAATATAAACATGTATAATATAATTCAATTAATTCAATTCAATTCAATTTAACGGTTCATACAAAAGTTAAAACATACATGATTAATTTATGTTATATAAAGTTAGCTTTTTTAATATTATATTTTATACTTTTGTATAATATATATATTTATATAGTTTACCCAAGATTGCTTTTTTTGAAAAATACCCAATAAATTATCTGTTCCTAAAAGAACATACGGACCCACGCAAAGGCTGATAGACCCTTCTCCTTCTGCAATGGATTTGATCAGACGGTCCAAAATTCAAAGTGAATGAGGATGGAAGGGCTAATATGGGATTAGCGGAAAATGGCAGAGGACTGCCACGTATACAGATGACAATCTGTAATAGCCTTCCATTGTTAGTAAGATGTAAAATACCTTTATATAGTACCAAGCTTTTGTTCCCCCCTTCACTTCAATCTTCAATTCAAAGCTCTGCAATTTTGCTCTCTCATCGCTCTCTCGCTTATTTATATATATATAAAAAACAGTTTCTCTGTTCATTTTGTGAGCCCATTTTTACGAATCGAGAAGCCATGTACAGATCGGAGAAAACAGTGCACAGGCATGAGAGAGATAACCCATCCTTTTCTTCTACTCTGCTTGACAAAATCTGCCGTTCCATCGATGATGGTGACACCACAAATGGCGACTTGAAATTCTACAGGGAAACAATGCAAAAGAAACAGAGCAAAGGTACCATGAAATGCAACAAAAGTGGAGGCCATGGTGAGGAAGGAGATGAAGAGATGTCGAGTATCCGACAAGCTTGTTCGATCCAGAAATGGATGGAAAAGAAAGTTAATCAAAAGGCGAATGCAGGCACGAAACAGGTTTTCTCTCGCTTCCAAAGGAAATCACATCATGAATATGATCATGACCATGATGCGGTTTTCTTCAGCTCCACTTCCACCTCATCTGATTCCAGTTCCGGTGGTTTCTCATCGTCCGACACTGAGTCTATGTATGTTACGAAATCCAAATCATCATGCTTTGTAACATCAAGGCCGAAACCTGTTAGGACCGGCGTGTCGGTTCGGTCGGAGAAACCAGTCAAAACAGAGAGGACTTTGTTTTACGAACAGAGACAGTCGCATATGCTCGATGATTATCATTATAGTTCAGCCTCCGACTATACACCAAAGTCCCACAAAAGTCTCTCCAGTTCAAAATCAAGAGCCACCAAAATTTACGGCAATCAAAAGAAGGTGAAACAGCCCATTTCACCAGGCGGCCGAATCACGAGTTTCATCAATTCTCTGTTCACAACAAGCAATTCAAAGAAAACAAGGGGTGCTCCATCTTCGATCCTAAGCTGTGATGATGAACGGAAATTGAAGTCCAACCAGGTTTCAACTTGTTCTTCAGCTTCCTCGTTTTCAAGATCATGTCTAAGCAAGAACTCATCTTCCACGAGAGAAAGGCTGCGTAAAGGAGTAAAAAGAACTGTTAGATTCTGCCCGGTGAGTGTGATCGTTGATGAAGACTGCAGACCATGTGGGCAAAAACGCTTATACGAAGAAGAAGACTCGTCGAATACAGTGTCGGTTACGGCCCCCGCCGTATGGAAAATTCAGAAATCGCCTTTGATAAAGGTCGAAGAAGAGAAAATGTTTCAAGTAATGGAAAAAGCTAGGCGAGTGGAAGAAATGGCTGCAAAGTTTTTGAAAGAATATCATCTAAACCAGAGCAAGAACGACTTCATATCAAGGGACAGTCGCAGTCATTATGTTACGGAGGAGATGGATGAAGATGATGAGGATGCAGCGAGCTATTCGAGTTCGGATTTGTTCGAGTTAGATCATCTGGTTCTTATTGGTAACAACAGGTACAGAGAAGAGCTTCCAGTGTATGAAACTACTCATGTAGAAACAAATCGGGCCATTGCTAATGGCTTGATAGCATAGTTAATTTTCACTTTTTTTTTGTTCCAGTCTTGTTTATGCATTGTTTTATGGCCAAATTTTGGTGTAAATATCCAGTGAATTTCATTTCCATTTTGGGCATACTTACAAGAATCGTTGTTTAAGTGAAACGGGAAACTAAAGGTAGCATGTAAGACGTGAAAAATAAAGGCAAAGTATAACATGAAAAAGGGAAGGGAAGCATGGATTTTGGTCCTTTTTTTCCTGAAAAAAAGTAAGAAATGGGGATCTGTGAACTCTTTGATCATGATCTGGAACTGAAGAGATTCTCACAGTGGCATTGGATGGAACAAGGAACGAAGAAAAAGAGAAAAGAGTGGGAAAATGAAAGATTCGAATGAATGAAAGACAGCGATGTGTGTGTGGATTGTGACGGTAAAGGCAAAGGCAGATCTTCTTCCCCCCCCCCCCCCATGGGAATAGCGAAAGTTGATTAGGAGGTTTCTTTTGCTTTCTTTCTTGAACATTGTGTATTCAAGCCTCTTCCTCTTATTTGTGAATCCACTTACACAAATTAAATTAGATTCACCATTTTCGGTTTTTTTCCCCTTATCTAAGATTTTTGTGTCTTTGATAATGACATGAACTACGTTAAGTATCGGAATAGGATAAATCAATAAACCCAAATTCTATTTATTTTTCAATCATATAACTCAAATCTAATACGTATTAGTAAACGAACATTAACAAATTCAATGGTGGATCCAAAAATATATTTCGATATAATATATGTATTAGTAATAGAAATTTTTTGTATAAGGCGGATACAAATAAAATTTCAGACAGGATATTATTAGTAAAAATTAACATAAAAAATTCAAATTTCAACGTCCACTCTGGCGTACACATAGATCCACCACTGTTAACAATGATGACAAGTGGTGTTCGTCGAAAAAAAATATTATTTCATGTACTGTTAATGAAATTAGAAGATCATAAACTCTTGAAATAATGATATATATATATATATATATATATATTAAAAATAGATATATTATAAGGACAATTATCATCTTTTTAACTATATTTGTGAAACTATCCTCTTCATTAACAGTATACAAAATAACTATGATATATATATATATTATTAATATAGCAATTTTGCTATTGGCAACCTCCAAGAAGTCGGTAAAATGAAATGAAATTGGACGAGGAAACACTGAAATGGAATAAGAAGAGATAGTGACTATTTAACCAACTTTTAACAATTAAGTTTGAAGTTAAAAAAGTGTTCATCTCTCAGTTTATATTAATGTAAGTGAACTTTTATGATTGCCTATAAACGCACCATTAGCAGTACTACGTGTCACGTGGTGAGAATGGAATTAGAGTTGGCAACGTCAAAAAGGACGGGTCTTTCCACGGAACCGATAATTATTGCTTTAGATAAATGTTATTACCATCAATAATATTATTTATATATAATTATATAAAATAATCATTAGATTGGTTGTTTAAGGCGGCAGTGGATTTGTAACTTATTTTCAAGAGCTGTAGGCGGAGAAATTCGTTGTTTATTATATTTTAATGCACTGTTTCACTTTAGGGTTTGAGGGGGGAAGGTCGAAAGTAGTTGCAACAAAAGCTTCATTGATTAAATATAGCATTAGTTAAGAATCTATCAGTTGTTAGAGATTCTGCGTAGTGGGAAAGAACCGACGAAGTTACTACCAGCAGTGATGAGAAGATTTATAATTATGTTGTGTCCGTTTATCTTATTGGTATTTAAAATTATTTATTAGCTTCGTGTTGTGTCTATCATTACTATTAATTCATTTGTGTTTCAAATTTTGGTAGGAAGGGTTGTATTAATGGAGAATCGGATTAGCTTCGAGTTTCGAATTTTCTGTGTGTCGTATAAGGCATGAAAAAGACAGACCAACCAACCACCAATGGGTTTATAAAAGTAATAGTTAGGGTTCTCTTCCAGGGTGTATTCCTTCAACATCTGCTAAAAGCTTAATCGTGTTCAATTTCATATGAACTTAAATATATGTTTTTACGACGGCAACTGGATCTTAATAATAAAAATAATTAAAAGTACAACGTACCTAAACATAGAAAAGAAAATGAGGACGATAGTTAAAAAATTTATACACAAAATAAAAATATTAAATTTAAAGATACGAAAAAATACTAAATATTTCATTGAGAATGACGTTCAACATCAAAAGAATCTAATAACCTTCGTAAAATTCATTGTCTCTGTCGAACGAGATGCTTTACGAAGTGGTAAAGGAGTGGTGAGTGAACCACATAATTTTGCATGCTGCTTCGCTACACAATTCTGACAATACGTTCAATATCAGCAAATAATATTTTACCAAAGAGATGATCTAACAATACGTAAACACTGACAAATCAATCAAAAAACAAATATCATGGGGGGTTTTTGTGCGAGAACTAACACGACCATAGAGTTCTGTGAAAAAAGTGCCAAAAGTCCTAAGGAGCATGCCACAAGGACAGAGAAAAAGCCTACCACAAAATCAGAGAAAAGTGTGTTACAATGACAGAGATTTCTATTTAAAATTGAAAAAAAAAACAAATAACATAGTATAAAAAAGATAAGAAAAATAATAATTAGCAACTGTTGATAACCAATATTAAAATTTGTGCTGCATCCGATTAAAAAAACAAAATAAATTTTAGATATTTTCTTAATTAAAACGAATCATAATAAAAAGCATAAGGAAATATTTAATATATAATTACGTAAAAGTAAATAAATCTTATAATCTTATCTATTTCAATCGTAAATAGTAATAAATTTGTTGGTTTATTACATAAAGAGAATTCATTGTTGTTTGCCATAAAGAAAACAAGAGACCCCCATTGTTTTAATCATCAAATGCCGATTATTTTGGAAGCTGCTAAATAACCTTCTTGAATGGTTCAATAATTTAAGCACCGTTCTTAATGTTCAAGTGGAACCAACCCCCTGCAGAACTAAATTTCAAACTTAGCAAAACCTCGTGTAGGTTGGCAATGGAATCCGCCTCTGCAACTTCATTATTTGCTTTGGTAGAAAATGACAGAGATTTTATAAGTTTTCATTACCCACCTTTTCCTTTTCCTTAGTCTTTCATCCACAAAAGTAAAACAAGTGCAGTGGGTACGATCCATGTTAGATCCACCAAAGATTCAATCTTAACAATAAAGGGAAAAATACGAACGGAGTAACCATCAAGATCAAATAATAATATAAGAAAATAATGAAGTAATATACAAGACAGGAGGGATTTGGGAGCAACAAACAAGGATAATGTTATATTAAGTTTTTTTTATAACCAGTGCTATTAATCTGTTAATCGATTAATCCAGATAAAATGTTGTAAAAATAAAAATGATCTTCTTAATTTAATTTATTCGATTTACAATGGTAAGAATTCGAACGCAAGAATTGCATTAAGTTTCGGTATCCATGCAGGCACGCACGCTTTCAGAATTCGCAGGGTAATACGGATTCTGAAAATGATTTTTTTAGGTGACCACGCCTGACGAATGACGGATCAACATTTCATTATTTTCATCGTCACTTGAAGATCATAGGAAAACGAACCCTCTACTTATTACAAGGACTCTTTCAATCCCACTTTACAATTAAAATTACCCTCTAGTCCATTGGAAAATCCGTCTAAAAACTGTCGTTTAATTACCATAAAACAACAAGTATTAAACCAGTTTATAACCACCATTACACCATAATCAGCTTAACCAAGCCAAAAAAAATCATTAATAAAGACATAGAATGAACTCGAGTTCGGGTACCCCAGAGCAGAACAGGGACACCATATCGCATCATCAACAAGCTCTTGTAACAACGAGACCCCTGGTTAAAACGGAAAAGGCTACACCATCTAGGCAACTCTGCTTTAGCTTTAATGATTGTTTGGGAAAAGGGTCGGTTGCCTCCGCGAACCCACATCGGCTGCAACAAGGAACGCAACAACGTTCGAATCACCCGAACTCCAAATTAGAGAAGCAGGTATTCGGACCACACTTTTATTTGTTAGGTGAATCCACGATGCATGTGCTTTCATAATTATGTGTGCTTTGGGCTTTGGTGAAGGTGGCAGAGCTTGAAAAGGAGGTCCAGAAACAGAAAGAAATCCGGACCATGTACAAAATGAAAATGGAGAGAACACAAGACTATTTAAGGTACAGTCTTCAAATAGCACAGGATAAAGGATTCTTGGACCATATAATTAACCGCAAATCTCCTATTTCTCGGGATGTTGTCCTCGATGTCAATACCAGCGCTCCTCAACTCCCTGCCTCAGCTTCTCACCAATCCGATATAGGCCTACTCATCGATCAAGCCAAGTTGAATGGATGGTTCATCAACCCTCTCGAGGTAGTAATGTTTGAAGTGAATATTGTAAATGTTGAAAACCAAACTTTTTATGAGTTTGATCATTGAAGCAGATTGAGTTGCAAGAAAAAGTTGGTCAAGGGAGCACTGCAGACATATACAGAGGCATATGGAGAGGCATTGAAGTCGCAGTGAAGCGTGTATACCCCGATTTCTTTGAAAACAACGAGAATGGTGTAGCGTTTTTTGCTCAAGAAGTTGAGACATTATCTAAGCAGCGCCATCGCTTTATACTCCAGCTAATGGGGGCATGCCTTGAGCCGCCTATGCGAGGTTGGATAGTGACAGAGTTGTTGAGCATGACACTAAGGGATTGGTTGCATGGGCCTGGAAACAACCGGAAAAAAGGCAGAGCAACACAGCTTCCTCCATTCGAAGAGAGATTAAGCAAAGCAGTGGAGATTGCACAAGCAATGCAATATCTCCATGAACAAAAACCCAAAGTCATTCATCGTGATTTGAAGCCTAGCAACATTTTCCTGGACGATGCCAAGCATATCAGGGTGGCCGATTTCGGACATGCTCGGTTTTTAAGCGACGAAGAAATGGCACTTACTGGAGAAACGGGAACTTATGTTTACATGGCACCAGAGATTATCAGATGTGAGCCTTACAATGAAAAGTCCGATGTCTACAGCTTCGGGATCATTCTCAATGAACTCATCACCGGAAATCATCCTTATATTGAGACAAATTATGGACCAGCCATGGTAAACAATCAATTATCCATTGACATTATTTCTCTGGTGTTGAAGTGTTATAGCCCTTAACACATATCCATTGGATGTTGTTATTAGATTGCCATGGAGGTTGGAGAAGGAAAGCTAAGGCCAGCACTACCAGAAGACAATGGCGAATTGGGAGAGGTGATTGAGTTGATTTGCCAGTCATGGGATGAAGACGCTTCTGTTAGACCAGCCTTTGCAAGCATCACATCCACTTTGTCAAATTTCCAAATCAGATTCAAAGAAAAGTACTGCTTAGTGCAGTATTCTTCCCTACACTAGCATCCCTTCCATTATACAACTAGTATAATTTCAGTATCCTGATTACATTTCACTACAGTCTACCTCCATGTTTTCTTTTTTAGGGTAAATTACTCTTGTTGTCACTTTTATTTAGTTTTTTATATTTTGATCATTCAACTTTGAGAAATTATATTTTAACCACTTACATTATGATTACAAGAAAGTATCTATTCAGAATTCTCTCAACCAATTGACAATAAACGCACACACAAATTACTCTTGTTGTCACTTTTATTTAATTTTTTTATATTTTGATCATTCAACTTTGAGAAATTATATTTTAACCACTTACATTATGATTACAAGAAATTATCTATTCAGAATTCTCTCAACCAATTGACAATAAACGCACACACCCCCTACAGACGTTACTTCTCAAACTTGAAATCTCTAGGGAGAACAATACTCCCTTAATCACTAAAGTCGATTGATGAGCTTCATAAAATGATCGTATATTGACTTTCATTACATCAATAATGTGACACACTAACAAAAACAAATTTTTTAATTTAATCTCAAGATTTTAATCAAAATAAAAATTAATCATTTTAAAATATGTCATAACATCAATGGAACAATATTATTATGATTATTTTATGATAAATTAATGATATAAATTATTAAAATATAGTAAATTTTAAAAATTAGGGTAAATTATGTGAATAGTCCCTTATGTTTTGGTCTGACCGACTTTGTTCACCAATTTAAAAATTAAAAGAAAATGGTCCCTAACATTATCAATCCTTCCGATTTTCACATGCTCCTCCTCCTCTTCTTTTTCTTCTTACATAACCTGCAAACGAGGATAAGAAACCAAAATTGAAGCACTTTCACGCTCCAATTCAAACCAAGCAAAACCCAGAAATGAGAACAGTCAAAAAAAAAACTCAAACAAATCCAATTGAGTTTTGTGAGTTGTGATGGAAAATATGATTCAAATATGAATCCACACTGAAGTGAAGGTACATCAAATCCTTGAAACAAGAGCTTGCAAAATCCAAGCAGTCCGGAAAGAGTATGCATGATGCGTTGTTGGCTCAAACTAGAGAGTTGGAGAAAACCAATGTTTCACTCAAAGAATCCAGGCAAGAAATCAAATCCTTGCTCGAGACCTCACCCGATGTTGCTTCACACAGGTCCACAAGTGATGACCATTCTTTGGTTGAATCCCTCGAGCATGAGCTTCGATTGGTTAAAGCAAACTTGGCTAGATCACAAGGAAGGCCAAGAATCTAGCCATCTTCTAAGCCTAGGAGAACGACAAGAAAGCCGTGGATGATTTAGCTATGGCATTAAAGGAAATGATTATTGAATCGAACCAAACCAAAGTAACAAAGGAAGAGCTTAAGACGACAAAACGGGAAGTTGAGGAATTTAAGGTGAAGCTAAAGAACGTGGAGGAACCATGCATGAAAGAGAAGAGAGAAGTTGGTCGACCAAAGAACATTGCGACGAGATTAAGGTTAGAGGCTAAGGGATGTCGCGCTAGAAGAGTACAAAGCATTGCAGAAATCACTTAAAGAAGCTGGGAAACAATCAATAGATCCAAGAAAGAGATTCAGAGACTAAGGGACATAGTGAAACAGGCCTTAAATAAAGCAAATGTAGCCAAAGAAGCATCTAGCATTGCCAGAGAAGAAAATTCCCAGCTCAAAGACGCCCTTGCACAAAAGGAAGAAGCTTTGAAATTGCTTTACTAAGGAAGTGAAAAGCTTACGAAAATTAGAGCACATGCATAGTCATGAATCATGATCACCGATGAGAAGGACCGTTTTGATGGCAATGAAGCAGTACTCGGACATGGAGAATTGTGTGCAAGATAAGGAATACAATGATCATGATAAAGAAAGCGAACAACCCACACTAAGACCAAGAAAACCACCATGGCCGATGGTGAGAAGGACAACATTGGTGACGATGAAGCAGTACTCAGACATTGAGTTATTTGGGATTTTGGGGGCTTTTGGGATTTTTAATAAATTTTCATTTCATGTCACTTACGACTAGTGACTTACGTGGATTTATTTATTATATTTTAACCGTTGAAGAACTAAAATCGAACGGATAAATAATATTAGAGACTAAAATTAGACGGATCGATATAGTTAGAGACCATTTTCTCCTAATTTTTAAATTAGTGACCAAAACCGATCATATAAAAACATAGGGGATTATTTGCATAGTTTACTCTAAAAATTATAACACCTGTTATCAGAATTTCCAGATATACCCTTTCTCTGTTCATGTTCTACCTCCAGCAATCCCGAGTCCCGCCCTAATTTTCTATATTAAGAGCTTAAATCTTCGCAAAAAGGAAAAAGACAAAACCAATGGTTCTTCTCGTCTATGAATAAAAAATAAATAAAATTTTCCATAGTTCGTAACATTGAAGATAACAGATTAATATCACATAGTGATCCATCTACGCTCACTCTCACCGATAACTACGTTCATAGCCATTGTTATGCTTAAAAACCTGAGGTTTCATTCTTTGTTTTTTTAAAAAAAATAATTGACTCCCTTGTTGACTGTTTCAAAATCTGTATTTTCCCACCCTCTTCAGCGTTTACCATTTTTCTTTGATTTCCCCCCCTTTTTTGGGCTTCATGCTGTGCGAGTGCATGGTCTCACTGTTATAGTATATAAACTGACGATTGAAGTCGTTAGTTTGTATTTCTGTTATATTTTTTTTATTTTAACAGAAATACAAACTGACTAACGACTTCAATCGTCAGTTTATATACTATACTATAACACTCACTGTCTGAACCGGATATATCTCCATCGTGGTCTGTTTCATGTAGATTGTTTCATCCTTTTTCCCGCTCTTTGTTTGGTTTCATTGCGCTTGCTTGTGATATGAACTCTTGATTCTTTGTTTTTACTCTTTCTGGTGATTCTTTGCTTGCTTATTCTTTCTGGAAACCTTGTATCCGAGGTAAAGTGCACCCAACTCTTTTTAACGCTAAAGCTGAATAATAATCTTCTTTTTTAGTTAAAAAGTTTTCTATTAGTTGCCGTTGATTTAATAAGATTTTCGACGCTACTTTAACAGCTGTTAAGATGTCGTAAAAGAAAGGTCGTATTTTTAAATGCGAAGTTTGCCTCATTTGTTCCTAAACGTTAACCTGATTCTGTTTTGTAAGTGGAACCAAGTTCTTTGCTTCATATTTTTTTTTCTTTCCCTTACCAGAGTTTTGACGGAAAACTAAAGCAATGGCCGAGGAGGGAAAAAATGGAGGAACACAAGTGGTGATTAATGTCTCCGGCGAAGAAAATTCAAAAGGGTCTTATCCAAAAGAAGCAGAGGCATTGGACCCTAAGTTTAATTCTCAAGGTTCACACAATAAAGCATTGGCTGAATCTAGCGCTGTTACTGCCGGTCCTACTGCAAACAAGCCACCTAAAACCCCAATTGCAGGTAATGAGCTTCTTCTTAGACGAAGGTCATTTGCTAAACCCAAGTCTAGGTTCGGAGAACAATCTTATGTCCCTAAATCTGATCAAGAAGACAATAATTTAGGTAATCAAGAACAAGTTGGTGGTAATTCACCTTATAGACTCTCCTCCATCAATAAGTCCTCCCCTAATAATAAGTCGGCTAGAAGTATTAGGACGGATTCTGCCATATCGAAAACATTATCAATGGCCTCTAGAGGCTCCACTGAGGAAGATGAAAATGAGGAGATAGTTAAGAAAGTTAAACTGCAAAAAGAGAAGCTAAATGGAGTGAAACCCAAGGTTGTGATTCAGTGGTTTGTATTTGTGTTGCTACTCGGCTGCTTAATAACTAGCTTAACTATAGGTAAAGAAAAGAACATCCTCTTATGGGGTTTGGAAATTTGGAAGTTGTGTGTACTTGTGGTGGTTATATTCTGTGGTTTTTTGGTTACTCGTTGGTTTATGCTTCTGGTTGTTTTCTTGATCGAGATTAACTTTCTGCTTCGGAAAAAAGTGCTGTATTTTGTTCATGGTTTGAAGAAGAGTGTTCAGGTGTTTATTTGGCTTAGCATAGTTCTTGCTACTTGGGTTCTTCTGTTTCTTGATGTTGAGAGATCGAAGACTGCAACAAAAGTTCTCAATTATTTAACCTGGACTTTAGTAAGCATAGTTTTTGGAGCATTTTTGTGGTTGTTGAAGACTTTGTCGTTAAAGATAATGGCTTCGAATTTCCATATGAACAAATTCTTTGACAGAATACAAGAATCCGTCTTCCATCACTATGTGCTTAGGACCCTTTCAGGACCACCATTTATGGAGATTGATGGGATTCAAAAACAACCAGCTCAGTTGATTGTTAGCAATGCAAAAAAGGGTAAGGAACCTAAAACAAAAAGGTTGATTGACATGGGGAAGGTCCATAGGTTGAAGCGAGAAAAAGTTTCGGCTTGGCATATGAAGGTGCTAGTAGATGCTATCACGAATTCAGGGCTTTCCACAGTCTCCAACACATTAGAGGAATGTGCTTTTGATGACGGTGGCGAACAAGCAGATAATGAAATTACCAATGAGGAGGAGGCACAATATGTTGCTCATCAAATTTTTGCAAATGTAACCCGACATGATAGTGATCACAATCGCAGGTGAGAAAAATCAGCCTTCCATGATGCTTCTAGTGATTTTCCTGCCAACTCTTTTTTAAAAAATAAAAATAAATTTTATACTCTAACTTGATGCTCGTTATGGTCAGTTACATTGATGAGGATGACCTCTTAAGATTCATGATTAAGGAGGAAGTGGATCTTGTGTTACCTTTGTTTGAAGGATCGAGCACTGGTAAAATTGACAGAAAAAGTTTCACAAACTGGGTGGTAAGATGCTAAGAGCTCTATATGAATCCAATATCTTGAGTAACATTTTGAACTTTTTTATATTTATGCAAGTATGCGACAATGAGTATGAGAAACAAAATTTCCTGTTATTTTCTGGAACCCCATATGCCATATGTTGTTCTGCGGCAAATTTTACTAGTTAGATTGAGGAAGAAAGTTAAATGTTTTGACAGTAGTAACTTAAACAAAAAAAATTTAATACTCTTGGCAACAAGGAGCAAAGATCATCTAACTACTCTAGTGCTTTTTATGCTTTTGATTTACATTTGGAAGTCAAAATATACTCCATTTCTGTAACAGGACATCTTTCTAATGGAGTGCATACTTTCCATATGTCTTCATTGTTGTAGATTTTGGTGAAAAGAATTTGTTCCGAACATAGTTTTCAAGTGTTTATACTGAGAAAATTATGTGGTTTATGAAATACACTCTTTGCTGTCTCATAATTGGGTTTTGATGGCTTGAACACAATCCCGACATTATAGCTTTGCTGTGATGAAGGAAAGCCATCCCTGAAGATAAGGGTTCTTGATTAACATGCACGTATTTGTTATTTCATGCAGATAAAAGTTTACCAGGGTCGGAAAACACTAGGATATGCTTTGCGTGACACCAAAACAGCAGTAAAGCAGTTGAATACACTTGTGTCGGCAATCGTAATCATTGCTGCTATTATCATATGGCTTCTTTTGGTGGAAATTGCAACCACAAAACTGCTTTTGCTACTTTCATCGCAGCTTGTAGTGGCAGTTTTTATGTTTGGAAACACCTGCAAGACTATATTTGAAGCTATCATATTCGTGTTTGTGATGCATCCATTCGATGTCGGCGATCGTTGTGTGGTTGATGGTGTTCAGGTAACAATTGAAAAAGACTTACTCCTACATACATGTCTGGAAAAGATTACTAATTATGCTTATCACTTGGTAACTCACAGTTGCTGGTCGAGGAGATGAATATTTTAACGACAGTCTTCTTGAAGCTTGATAATGAAAAGGTGTACTACCCAAATTCAGTTTTGGCTACAAAACCCATCAGCAACTATTACAGAAGCCCAGATATGAGTGATACGATAGAGTTCTCGATTGATTTTATGACCCCAGCGAAGACAATAGGCAGGCTGAAAGAAGAAATAAAGAAGTAAGTTGACTGTAGCTTTATCCTACCTTTAATCCATGTAATGTTTGATTATGAGAAAACCAAACATTGCTATAGCTTCATGCAGGTGTCCCCGAGGTTTGACACCTTAACTGGCACAAATAACTTACACATAGTTTAAAGATCAAAGCATGTAATTTGATAGCTAAATATCGAAACAAGCAATATTTGGATCTCAATCTTTGAGTATGACTTTTATTATCATCGGAACTTATTCTTTTCGCATTCCCATTTCCCAGTTCATTCGGTCTATAAATTCATATTATCTCTGCTGTTATGTCTAATCAGGCATTTGGAAGCCAATGCCCTGTGGCATCCTAACCACCTTGTGGTGGTGAGGGAAATCGAGAATGTCAATAAGTTAAAGATGGCTCTCTTTTGCAATCACACGATGAACTTCCAGGACTTTAGAGAGAAGAACAGGCGTCGAACTGAACTGGTCCTTGAGTTGAAGAGAATTTTTGAGGAGCTGGGTATACGATACAATCTCCTTCCCCAACATGTGAATCTCAACCAAGTCAATCAAGACAGGCCCGACGCAACATATGCAACTACTTGATCATATTATTGCTTGTATGATGAAGAGTGATTTATATCATAGGTAAGCATCCCCATTGCACTCCTTTCTTACAAGGTGGGCTTATGCAACTATGAACAATAAACACTATATTTATTAATTATATCACCATTACCATTCATCTTATGTATAGATACGTCCTCTTTGACTCGTTTGCAATTGTTGTGTGAATAACTCAGATTGTCCTAGTAGTTATTTTAAATTATAAATTTTAGGATTTAATCACTTGAAACTTGTATCGCAGAGATCCCCATTTGAGAAGAAAATGGTTACTCAAGGTGGTTGAAAAAGGGAAGAAACATGAATCATAGGTAGTTGTTGTACATCATAGTTTAATTCGAAATCGAACTTCTTGCCGAGAGTTGTATGGAAGACAGCATTCTGGCATCGAATACAAGTACCTGATATGAAGCCATTAGATCTCATTCTATCTTGGTTTCAACCAGGGATGGAATGGGCTGATTCTGTTACCGGAGCTTAGGACAAGAGTCGTAATGAAGCGGTTTAGTTGTTGTAATCTAACATTGATGGAGAGTATTTTCAGATTTAAACTTATTATTTTGTTTTTAAGAGTTGAGACCTATGTAGCAATATGTTTTGGACCTTTCGTTTAATTTTAACTTGTTAAGTCTAATGTAAGATGGGCATTGCTTCATATTCTTGAGCTTTATTGCCAAATGTCACGCATGACCATCAATTTGCCAATATGCATTTCTGTAGAAGAATCAATAACAAGAGTTAAATGGAACTGAAAGTAAAGTCCATACTTGGTCTTCAGAAAGAATGTGATGGTGCAGACTCGTAGTGGGGAATCAAAGAGGAAAACAGAGAAAGTGGAGAAATTAAAGTCCACGTTGATCATGATTTTTGTGATGTGGGCATTGGTGGCCGCAATACCCTGTCAAGAGAGGAACAGTTTGCCCACAAATTTCCCGGTTCCCAAGGCCCGTAGCTTGATTGGGTTACAAGAGAATATCGCCGATGAGTGGAAGAAGAAAGGGATGGCAGGATTGTTGGATAAGATGCAGAAAATGGAGAAATCTGCTCAGAGATCGATAGACTTTTCAGATCCCGCTGAGAAATTAAAGGAAGCGGAAGCTCATGTTACGGAATTGATGGAGATTTGTGGGGGAAGGAGAATGGAACAAGGATTGACGCCTTCACAGATGCATATTAGGTATTGTAAGAAGCAGAACCCAGTTCCTTGATGCGTTGGAATAATGCTCTGCACCAGTCATATACCCGTTCTGTATATTAATACATTATATATAAGTATTTTCATATAAATAATTTAATATAAAGTTTTATATTTATACACATATATATAAATATTTGTCACGTTCTTTGAGAAGATAATGATCCTTTGGTTAAAAGCTCACGTCTTATCTCCTGTGCCCGTCGAATAGAAAAAGCATTGGAAAACTAGAGAACCAGAAAATTGTGAACAAAGTGATGGCTCTATCAACCACTGCTGCAACACTCTACATTTCTGGCAACAACATTCATGCCCCAGCGCGCAAAAGCTCCTCCGTATTCTCAAATTCTACCAACTTTTCTATAAAGAAGAGAAGAATACTGAGCATCAGGAGCTCCGGTGATGTATCATCCGAGACACCAGCCACTGAAACAGAATCAGAAAAATTCATTGATGAAACTCCTAAAGGACCTCCTTCTCTAATCTCTGCTCTTAATGTTGAACGAGCTCTTCGTGGCATCGGTAAATCATGATCAACCCTTTTCGCTTATTTATATAATTTATAGGACTAGCATTTAATCCTTATGCATTCATATTATTTCTGGGAAAAAGACTGCACTCAATTGATGAGGTTTTACTTTTAGCATGCAGCAATAACAGATGTCGATCACTATGGTAGACTTGGCCTTCAAAGAGGATGTTCTTATGAACAGGTCCTTAATCAAATCACTTATAACATGTAGTCTCATCTGCTAAATTCCTTCTTTTTTTATACTTAGGGTTCCATGTTTTCAGGTCACAGTGTCCTTCAGAAACAAGGTTGACGAACTCCTGAATCAGGGGCTGGATGAAGAAGATCTCAGCAAGAAAATGGATCTCTTAAAAGTTAGTCTTTGAAGCTTACAAACATTAATATGTAATTGTATATAAGCTTACAAACGTCATTTCTTTCTTAGGAATCATACTCGATTTTGTCATCGGTGGAAGAAAGAAGGCTTTATGACTGGAGCTTGACAAGAAGTGAAAACCCAGATAGATATGCCTGGCCTTTTGAGGTGGATATCACCCAAACTCCCACGGAGGACCCTCCACCAGGGGTAATCAACCATTTTCGTTTCAAACGAGTTTGTTTTCGTTTGTTCTTAGTCAGTTATAATTAGCAGTTTCAAATCATAATGAGAGTTTTGTGTGACAGGAACCGGAGGACGTCGGGCCGACGAGATTGGTGGGATATTTCATGTTGGGATGGCTAATACTGTCCGTCGTGTTGTCTATCGCCCTTGCCCGATAGGGGTTGTGTTTTTATTCTGTAATATAGTAATCACAAATGTTCTTTTCTACACGAATTTGGATGAAGCGAACTGCCACCATTATCATTCTTTAGCATAGTCTACTGGCTTGTTCATAAATGTTTTTTAGGGTAAGTATACCTGCGTTAATAATACAATTTTTGAACGGAGTATATATAAATAAAAGTTTAAGATTGACAACGTCTTTAAAATAAATAAATAACAAAAAGAAATTCAAATTTTAGTATTGGTAGGTATCTACCCTCAACAAGGTGTGACTCCGTCATACCGCTACCATTAGCATCACAATTAAAATGATGATCACTATCCAAAGAATTTGGATAATTTATAAGCATGCAATATCTGTGGGACATTTGTGCTAGCCCAGGCCCTCGATTTAATCGCATTTCTAAGAACAGTCTCCTTGTATCACGTCTTGGAGAAGTGGGAATATTAATTTCACATCAAAAAGAAAAAAAAGGAGGATTGTTGGGTTTAAGAGCAATGGCATTGTATATTCTATTAAATATGTCTTCTGAGAAAAAAATAATAACCCTATTACAAGTGATATCGGAATACTCCTTTGAGAGTCAAATTTTATACTCAACTTCCTAGGTGGTGGGCTATGACTGAAGGCACATTTAGACCCTAGAGAAAATAATGACACCTTATTATAACATTAAACAGGAAAATAATTGCATACAAGTTGAAGGTTATTGCTAAAATCAGAGAGAGAGAATTGGGGGGGGGGTGAATTTCTCAAAAGAGACTTGAGAATTTGATGAGATGTTATGATGGAGATAATTGAATTTTGCAGATTTAAACATGTTGGCATTATTGAAGATTTATGGCTTGTAAAACATACTGTTAGGTTGAGATTGAGGGGGTGTACTAAGGTTGCTACTCCTTCCTCTGCGCTTGCTTCAGAGTGGGTCGTTGGCTTATGGTTTTATAGGTGTTGCCTTTTTTACTTTTCCTTGTTTGTAAATGGTATGTATAGTGAAGTTCTTTTGGATGAATAAATCAACATTTATACACACAAAAAAAAGATTTATGGCTTCGCTGCAAAGGAGAAGATAAAAATAAGAGAATAAAGTGGTCCATAAACTGAAGATGAAGCCACCATAGCAATTGTTCCAAAGATTGAATCATGATGGTGGATATTTCAAACTCTAAATCTTTTGTTATATAGATATATTGCGATTGGTTATGGTTGACAATACATCATTGATAGCTTGGTACGAGGGTGAGATTAGGGTAGGGCTGTAAATGAGACGAGACAGATCGCGAGCTACTCAAGATCGACTCGGTCAAGGCTCGATAAATACTCAAATTGAATGGACTCGAGTCGAGCTCGACTCGAATTCTTAACGAGCTGAAACGAGCTACTTGATACTCGACTCGAAAAGCTCGTGAGCAGCTCGAAAATATAATATATTAAGATTTTATTTTATTTTTTAAAATAAATTATTAATAATATTAACATTTATGTGTTGATTGTTTTTAAAAAATACAGTAAGGTTTTCATGTATTTAAGGTTTATGTTCGAGTTTGAGTTTGAGAATTCAATCTTGTTAAGTTTAAGATTTTTTTTTTCATTTCGAGTTGCTCACGAGCTTCAGTTTAGGATTTCGAGTTCGAGTCGAGCTTAAAAATTTTAAGGTCGCGAGTTTTCGAGTCGAGTCGAGATCAACAATAGTCGAGCTCGATTCGGCTCGTTTACACCCCTAGATTAGGGATGGCCACAAAAAATACGTAATCAACTGGATCATTTTAATAAGGTCAGATTTTTAATGAAATTTAAAGTTCAGATTGGATTAATGTGAATTTAAATTCAAGTTTAGGGAGAATTAATCTCGTCCCCACCCAAATTTTGATTGGGTGGTGGCTTGGATGGTTGTCAAGGGGCAACGAGGTAGTAAGTGGCAGGTCTAAGAAGATGTGGTAATGATGGTGAAATTGTGCTTCTAGTTAAGGCAGAATGTGGGGTGAATGCAATGTTGTGAAGGTGAACGTCTGAGCTCGTGGTAGTTTTTGAGGCAAGGCTCGGGCAGAAACATTGTGGCATGAGTTCTGTTCTTTTTGTGGTGAAAATGGCAGTGACGTGATGATGGTAGGTTCCAGAAGAGCAATGATGGTGATAGCTCGGGCTTGCTGGGTGATGTTTGATGGTATGAAATTAGTGGGTGATCTCCAGCAAGCTGATGCTGGTTCTCTCTTCTCTTTTGTCGTGAGTTCCCTCGTGGCTGTCGGTTGTCTGTTGATGGGGTTCCGGGTGAGGTATGGTTGTAAGTGTTGTTGAAGTGGTGAGTTAAAGGGTTGAGTCATCGAGGATCAAATATGGATCGAGGAATATTGCTGAGAATAATCATATCCTTAAAAAAAATTAATTATTATATATTTTAAGTATTTTTTCCTCTTTGTATTTTCTATTATTAATATGTTTTCTTCCCTATAATTTTATAAATTCTCTCATTCCTACAATTTTAAAAATTCGCCTCTTATCATAAAATCATATTTCTATCAATGATAGTATGTTGCAAGTTATCATAGATGTTCACAAACCGTATCTTTGCCATTCATGACATGATTAAATTTTATCGATTTTCATAATTATTGGTTTTTGTTGTATTATACTCATCAAGAAAACGAGAAAAGAAGAGAGAGAAAAATCATGAAGTCATAAGGATTCCCATTCTCAATATTCAACCGTGTTGTTGTATAGCATGATATCTTAACAAGATTTGTATAATATCCTGTTGGGAAATAAAACGATTAATTTCCCTATAACCAGATTAGTGAGAATACGAAATAAAAGCGGAAAATAATACCTGAAATTGATTACGGAGTTCAGCCAATTACGTCTCCGGATTGCTGTAGATCTTTTACTAAAGAGAAAAAATTTACAAGTGTTTACAAAACACTCCCAACTCACAAGAAAGCTCTCTAGTATTGGGAGAAAGAAATGATTTGGGATGATTTTGAACCTAAATGGATTATGGTATTTATAGTTGAAGCTTAAGGACTAATCTTGTAAATACCCCAAAGTGTGTAGGAACTAAAATGTAATTAACCCTATTTCTATTTTCAACAAAATTGGGCACCGAATTCGGTGCCCCTTTGTTGAAAATAGGTGGCACACCCTTTTTGACTTTACAATCTCCCACTTGAAGACTGATTTTAAGTTGTCTTCACACCTCGATCAATGCAGCAATATTTCTGGTCTTGTTACTCTAGCATGCCTACTGAAGCTGAACACAACTTCAGTTTTTCCATAGTCACCATCTTTGTTAACATGTATGCCGGATTTTGAGCTTCACTAATCTTTTCAAGTTTCAAAATCTCATCTTCCAGAAGAGACCGGATAAAATGATATCGCAATTGTATGTGCTTCGTCCTGGAATGAAAAGACGGATTCTTCGCTAGATGGATAGCACTTTGACTGTCGCAATACAAGACATTGTTTTCTTGTTTCTTACCTAACTCTTCCAAGAAACTTTGGAGCCAAACCATCTCCTTGTTGGCTTCCGTAACAACAACATATTCTGCTTCAGTTGTGGAGAGAACAACTATCTTCTGTAGTTAAGAAACCCAACTCACTGCGGTACCTCCTAGAGTATAGACATACCCTATAGTGCTTCTTCTGATGTCAACATTTTCGGCTAAGTCAGCATCTACATAGTCTGTCAATATTTTATGTCCACCTTTGAAACAAAGTGCTTTGTTTGTAGTACCCCGCAGATATCTGAGGATTCATTTGACTGCTTCCCAGTGTACCTTGCCCGGATTATTCATGTATCTGCTAACAGCTCCCACTGCTTGAGCAATATCTGGTCTAGTACAAACCATGGCATACATCAGACTTCCAATTGCTGAGGAATACGACACCTTCACCATGTGTGCACGTTCTTCCTCCATCTTTGGTGATTGTACTTTGGAGAGTCTAAAATGAACAGCTATAGGTGTACTTACTGGTTTAGCATCTTGCATGTTTAACCTGGATAATACTTTGTTGATGTACTCAGCCTATGATAACATCAAGTCCCCAACTTTGTGTCTCTCTTAATCCTCATCCCAAGAATCTGCTTTGCAGCACCCAGATCTTTTATTGTAAACTGCTTCGACAATTTTTGCTTTAAGTTTATAATTTCTTGCATGTCTGAACCAGCAATGAGCATGTCATCAACGTACAACAATAAAATAATGATGTTGTTGTCGAACTTCTTGATGTAGCAACAATGATCTGCTTGACATCTAGTAAAACCACTGTTACTCATGAAACTATCGAACTTCTTGTACCACTGTCTAGGAGCTTGTTTTAAACCATACAAGTTATTCTTCAACCTGCATACTAGGTTTTTCGTGTCTGCCTTTACGAAGTCTTCTGGCTGCCTCATATAGATTTCTTCCTCCAAATCACCATGAAGGAAAGTTGTCTTTACATCTAACTGCTCAAGATATAGATTTTCTACAGCTATAATTTTCAACACCAGTCTGATTGTAGACAGTTTCACTACTGGAGAGAAAATTTCATTGTAGTCAATACATTCATTTTACTGAAAACCTTTGACAACCAATCTTGCTTTGTAGCGTTTGCTCCCATCGTGCTCTTCTTTGATCCTGTAAATCCACTTGTTATGGAGCGATTTCTTGCCCGGTGGTAATTCAACTAATTCTCACGTCTGATTTGACATAAGCGAGTCCATCTCATCTTTAATAGAAGACTCCCACTTGACTGAATCCTCCAACTGCATTGCTTCATCATAGCACTCTAGTTCACCATTTTCAGTCAGCAACAAGTAGTGCAAAGAAAGCAAATAACGTTGTGTTGGTTTAGGAATTCTGGATGAGCATTTCAGTTCTGGTGTGCCTGGTTCTTCTTGAACTGCTTCAGGATTGATCTGAATATCATTTCTAGAAATCTCCTCAAACTCAACAAATTTCTTTGTTTCAGCTTCGGTATTGGATCTACTTGATTCTATGGTTGACATGTCTTTTACATCACATTCTCATTGAAAATGACATCTTTGCTTCTGATGATCTTCCGATTTTCATAGTCCCAAAACCGGTAACCGAACTCATCACCACCAT